ATATATATATATATATATATATATACATACATACATACATACATATACATATACATATACATATATATATATATATATATATATATAAAGCGTAAGTTGCTATGGTAACATACCCTGAACATTACATGAAAATGAGGTTATCTGCTGGCTACATCTCTCTGGAATACACCCCAGACCTTTACATAACACACCAAAAGACACACTTCCAGACTCTCCTGTCTGTGCATACTGTTGAATCTTTTGATCACTCAGAACTGCTGAAAGCCTGACCGTCCAGATGTTCGATGATTCAGAAACACGTCCTTGTAAATACGAGTGTAAATATTAAATGTCACGAGTTCAGCGCAGTGTTTTCTTGCGTAAGATGTTTGTACAGGACGCTTTGTGTCATGTCGCCTTGTGCCTTATTTAACACCTGTAAAACTTTCATCTTTGATAGCTGTATGTAAATGAAGTGATCTAAAAGACTGTCTGTGTTTAACATTCCCCTTCTCCTTTAATAAAGCCAGTTCAGTTCTGACAGCACTGTCTGATGTTAATCTGACTATGAGGAAAACACCAAGTGTGTATTATATTATATTACAATAGGCACATCAATAAAACGAATAAATAATAAGACACATCAGTTTATTTATTTTAAAAATTATTTATAAATTAATAATTATTCATTTAATTTTTAATTATGTGAGCCTATATTTTGCTTATCAGTCTGTATATTCTAGTCCAGTGTTTCTCAACCATGTTCCTGGAGGACCACCAACTCTGCATGTTTTGGATGTCTCCTTTGTCTGTCACACCCATTACAGGTCTTTCAGTCTATGCTAATGTGCTGATGATCTAAATCAGGTGTGTTTGGTTAAAGAGACATGGCCAATGTGCAGAGCTGGTGGTCCTCCAGGAACGTGGTTGAGAAACACTGTTCTAATCTGTACTTGTTTTGGGTAGAATTTGGTGAACAATTACATAAATAAATAAATCAAATTAAAAATAAATAATAATATTACAGATAATTAAAATGTAGGTTCAAATAACATACATATATTTACATAAATAAATAATATTAAAATAAAACAAATATTACATAACCAAATTACAGGCTCATATAATTACATTTACATACATATTATTACAAGTAAAATAAATATCATTACATAAAACCAAATATAGGCTCATATAATTACATCATTTATTTATTTGTAATTACATAAGCCTTTATTTTGCTTATATGTAATAATAATTTATTTATTTTTAATTAAATGAGCCTATATTTTAATTACTGGTCTGTATACTCTGTAGTTGTCTGAGGTAGAATTTGGTTAACAATTACATAAATAAATAATATTAAAATAAATAATAATACTACATATATCCAAAACATAGGTTCATAAAATGTACATACATAAAATTACATATATCTATATTAACATAATAAAATAAATAATATTAAAATAAAATAAACAATATTACATTCCGCTGGGTTCATTCCGCTGTGGCATACTCCTGATTAATAAACGGACTAAGCCGAAAAGAAAACTAATGAATAAATAAATGAATTAATAAATAATAATATTACATATAAACAAAATATAGGTTTATGAAATTTACATAATAATATATTATATTTATATTTACATGAATTATTAAACAATACTTAATCAAAATATAAGCTCATATAATTGCATTATAGATTTATTTTGATTATATGAGCCTATGATTTGCTTATATGCAACAGTTATTCTTTTATTTCTAATCATATGAGTCTCTATTTTGCTTACTGGTCTGTATATTCTAGTCTGTACTCGTTTTAGAATTTGGTGAACAAATAAATAAATAAATAAAGAATATTAAAATTAAAATAAACATTTTAAAAATACTATTACATATAACCAGAATACAGGCTCAAATAGTTAAAATAAATAAATAAATGATGTTACATAAGCAAAATGTAGGCTCATATAATTACATACATACATAAATAAACAAATAAATAAATAAATAATATAATAAATAAATAAAATTACATATAATCAAATATAGGCTCATATATTTAGAATTGAATAAATAAAAATTGTATAAACAAATAATATAACATAAACGCAAAACATAGGTTTATAAAATTAAAATAAATAATATTACATATAAGCAAAATATGCTCATATAATTAAAATAAAGAAATAAATAATATTAAATAAGCCAAATATAGGCTCATATAATTCAAATAAATGAATAATACATGCAAGCAAAATTTTGGCTCATATTATTAAAATCAATAAATAATATTCCATAAGCAAAATTTAGGCTAATAGATTTACATTTACATACATAAACAAATAAATAAATACAATTATATTAAAATAGATAAAATGACATATAATCAAATATAGGCTCATATATTTACATTTAAATAAATAAAATTTGTATAAACAAATAATATTACAAAAATGAAAAACATAGGTTCATAAAATTAAAATAAATAAAATTACATATTAGCAAAATATGGGCTCATATAATTACAATAAATAAATAATATTACACAACCAAAATATAGGCTTATATAATGAAAATAAATATATAATATTACATACAGTTGAAGTCAGAATTATTAGGCACCCTGAATTATTCGCCCCCGTTTATTTTTTCCCCAATTTCTGTTTAACGGAGAGCAG